TTAAGGCAATGTTACACCTTTCTGGTGGTGTAAAGGGGGCCCAAGGTGGGAGGAAACTATATTGAAGGCCGCTTTACTGCTAACATAATGTAAAGTGGTCTTAGGGTAAATGAGAATCAGGTTTATAACATTCTAGGCTCTGGAGGAAAGTGCTGTCAGATCAAAGGCTTTTTCCAACATAAGAATGACACTCAACATGGACACCCCTTTCAGTGCCCCAAACCCCAGCACCTAAACACTTATGCCCCACATGACCTGCCCTAAATCATGGAGTCATATTTGGTTATGTCTACACTGCAGCTGGGAGCAAGCCTCCCAGCCCAGGCAGACAGGCTCACACTAGCTCCGCTCAAGCCAGCATGCTAAAAAGAGCAGCATGGGCTAGCCACCCAAGTGTTGGTTGGGCTTGTGCTCGGGCATGCCATAATGTCCACACTGCTATTTTGAGTAGGCTAACTCGAACAGAGATAGTGCATTTCTGTCTATCCACACTGGGAGGCATGCTCCCAGCTGCAGTGTGGACACAGCCTTTAAGGGACCACCAGATCATCCCATGGTAAGTTGTGGCAGAGCCAGGAATAAAACCCCAGGAGTCAAATCCTCCACTTATGTAGTGTGACTAGAGCTGCTCCAGGTTACACCAGCTGAGGATCCATCTCCTGGGAGTCTTTGACTCCTAGAACGCTGCTATACTAGACTGCAAGCCAGATCAAATCTCTATCATTCATGACAATTCCCACCCCAACAGTGCCTCATGCACCTGCATAAATAAAATAAAGGTAGGGAAAACGCATTTTTTTTGGTACATCTCTTTGTCTGGTGCACATACCCAGACAGTGTCTTCATTAGCTGTATCTTTGCATTTAAAGTAATTGCAGGATTTGAAACATCAAACCTCAGAATGTCTGTCTTCTTAATCTCAGAAGCTCTTTGAAGTTGCTGTGTTGTGTTGCGTGCTTCTCTGCCAGAGCATGTCGAGAGATGCTGCATTTACAATGGACATTACGTGCTCCTTAGACCAGGAAGCCGAAATTCACGGTAGCAAAATTAAAAACATCCAGCACTATCACTTCCTGTTCAGTCCCACCAACAACTCAACTACGTGAGAATATATCCTCTCCATCAACAGTCACTTGTGTGGAGAAATCAGGTTACTCAGACCTTTGCTGGACAATACTGATCGCAGGGTTACAAGTTCTGTAGTTCCGTCTCCTAGCCAGCTCTGAATTTAAACCAGACAGCAATTGCTTTGAAAGCTTTGGATAACACTGAATGCATCCCTGGGATTCTCTTTGGTTTGGGATGGTTGAAAGTGTGACAGATTTACAATATCCTGAACAAACCTTATGAAATTAAGATACATTTTACTGAATGATGTTAAACCTTATTGAATTAGGGTTAACACCTTTGGAATTCATTGTATTACAAATGCAAATGTTTATGTACTCCTGTGAAATTGTATGGAACTGCTTTGCCAGAAAGACAAGATTAATTCAATCTCTGGAAGGTCAGAGGAAGTTCCAAGGTCTTTTTGGAACTCTACAGTGTGAAGTGGATTTCCTTAGGAAATGCCCTGAAGTGAGGGGAATGCAAATTTTCCTGCTCTGAAGCCAACCTTTTGGAGATATTCCCTGAGGAGAGAGATCCTGTGTATACTAACTACTTGCTTCGGGAAACTCCAGTTCAAAGACCCCTGAACTGTATAAAAAAGGAACTAAACATGTTATGAGGGGGCTTGTTCTGAGCTGCAGCTCTGATGAACTTTTAACCACAAGGATTCCCTTAGGGTGGGGTATTAAAAGGCTGTACTTGCCAGAACCCATGCGAGAGCTGGGATGAACTCTGGTAAGCTTATTAGCATGCGTGTGGGTTCTTTTATTGATTGTAATATGTTTTCTCTGAAATGTTTTTTACCTTATGCATAAAGTAGGCTTGCTTAGAAAGAACTGTGTGGTAATCTGCATCAATTACAATGTTATCTGTCTCTAAAGAGAAAGCGAGCAGGTGTCATAGGGCAACCTGTCTATGCCTGGATGACATAGTGAAGATAGGGGACTGTCCTGCTTGGGAATACTCCAGTCAGAATGGAGAGTGACACGTGTCTTCACCCAAAGGGGCAATAGCTGGGGAGCTGAAAGCCAAGATTGGGGGGCCTTTCCTGAACCACTGAGGGAAAATACAGCTGCAGTTGCCCGGAGCTGTGACAGAAAGTTCATTGGACACATTTCCCCCTCGAGGATTCTCTTCAGTGGTGGTAGCCGCTCAGCTGTTCATGCTTCTAGTGACTGACATGCTGTATGAGTCCCGTTGTGTCAGTAGGAAAACAGATAAGCTGCAGATACAGGTTTAGGTAACAACAGGAGCACATTTATTGAGGCATAATGTAGCGCCCTACCCCTGGCTGGGTTATCAGCAGTAGGGCCAGAACCTGGGACCTCTGGAGGTAAAAAGCATGAAAAGCATAAAAAATAAGGCCACTCCTACTCACCAATGCTGTAGCAAGCTCATCAGCCTCTACCTATGGCTCAGCCACCCACTGAGTGTGCGTGGATTACCAACATGCAGCGTACTTTGAAGGGTCCCTTACAATATGTGCTAACTACTTATGCCAAACAATCTGTTCCACCCTGCATTTTGCTGTGATGCTGGGAGTTCCTTTCCCGGACTTGAAGAAGAGCTCCATGTGGCTCAAATGCTTGTCTCTCTCACCGACGACTGTTGGTCCAATAAAAGATATTACCTCACCTGCCTTGTCTGTCTATGGGTTACAAAGACAGTCCCAATGGAAGAGACTCCAAGCCCAGATCCTCAAAGGTATCAATAGGAGTTAGATCTGGGCCTCCCTGATAGAGCATGGTGAAACTGTCTGTGTAATCACAGTGCACACAGGTAGGTGTCAGAGGGGTCTGGTTTTCAGAGAGACAGCCGCCCCAAGTTTTATGTACAATTTCCCTACCCCTTCCAAGGTGCTGACACTGTGATTAGTCTCAGGCTTAACAAATGCTAATAACAAACACAACATTAGAAGAAAAAAAATCTCCAGTGAAAATAACAGGAGAAGGAAAATCTCTCTTAGCAAAGGGCTCCAATCCTGCAAGGCCTCCTCCATGTTTGCTCTGTGCATTGAAGGGTCAGCAGAAAATATAACTCAGGGAAAATGCATCTTCATAGCAGTTTAATTAATCTCTTGTTCTTTAGTTCAGCTTCTGCCAAGAGAAACTGGCCAATAGAACCAAACAGAACTTGAAGCAAATGCTGCTTTATTTACAAAACATTTGCAGGATTACCAAATGCCTCCTTATGTGCGAGACGTACATCCCCCCATTACACCAAGATGCAATTTCCCTTCCCAGTGTTTGGGCAGAGAGCTAGCATTCCAACCTGATGTATTTTAATTGATTTCAGCTATTGAATCCCTTGACTTGGAGGCATGTGGAGCGCAGAGCAGATGAGCCACATGCAATTTCAAGTGAATACATTTTCCCTTTCCTTCTGAAGCTGGAAACTGACAAAGTTGTTGGATTTACTTCGGGCCCAACAACAGACAGAGCTGATTAGGGAAGTATGTCAGATGGTTGCAAAGAGAGGCACGGATTGAAAACGCCATTATGAGAGATGAGCATTCTGATCTGGAGGCTGATTCAAATCCAAACTTTCCTGGACTTTGGGAGCATTATGACTTGGGTTTCTGCTTCAGAGCTACAAAGTCTCAGGTTCCGTTCCTGGCTTGGGCTCCAGCTATTCTGAGCCATTCCACTGATGGGAAGCTCACTGGCTTTCCCATGAGTACTACATCAGCAGAAGCGGAGCAGGATTCCGGAGAGGCTAATGCTTCTCAGCCCTGAGCATTAACAGCTCTGCCTTAGAGCAGAGAGTGCTCTCTGGACAGACTTCATGGGGAGTGGGGGAAGGCTCAATCCAGCAAACACATTTTCACTTGTGAGCTGGATGAGAGTCGAGAATACGTCTCCAGCAGCAAAAGGCAAGGGAACAAACCCACTGCACCACTCTGTTCATGGGCTTGAGTCTCCTCTTGCTGTAAAGAGCTGATCCAAACCCCACTGAAATCAACGCTAAGAGTCCCACTGATGTCAGTGGGCTCAGGACAAGGTCTAGTCAGTCTAGTAACTGAAGTGCAAAGCAGTGGAAGGGAAAGAAGAATCTCTCTCACTGCTAGCTGAAAGCAGCAGTATGTGGATATGGCACAGAAAGGACCGGCATATATCAGGGAGGAATCTGTCCCAGGAAAGCAATAGTGATCCAGATTTAATCATCACACATGACTGGATTTGTACAGAAAGAATAAGTGGGGAGTAAGTTTAAGATTTTCACATGAGAGTTTTAAGGTTGCTTTTCTCTCTCCTTGAGTAAAACCTGTGGGCCCAGTTCGCTGGTGTAAAATGGTGCTGCTCCTCTGAAGTCAATGGAATTACACCAATTTACACCAGCTCATAATTTGGCCTTTGGGCTTCAGACCTAATTCGCTAGAAAGGAACGTTAAGGAATAGCGCATACAGCCTTTATTCACACTGGTGATGTGGTGCAACTTAGTGCTCACCCATCTGTCTAGATGACATAGTCTAGTGTGCTTATGTCTTCCTATTGAGTTAAAAGTGAAGCATGCACTTAACTGCTGTCCTGAACAGGGCTGATTTGCTACATTGCTCTACTACTCAAAGCAGAGAACAGTCTCTCTCTCTCCCGCCCCCTGTACACGCTGTACAGGCGCAGCTCTGACTGGCTATGGCTCGTTACCTAATCACTTTGTGAAAATAAGGTGACTGATCCCTACGTGAATGAAACATGCGCTGAAGACATTAATCAGAAAGCACAGTGCGCCCAAAACCTCACTTGTGGCTTAAACAGCCCCGTTTGCCTATTGGGTGCAAGAGCACAGGAGGTGAATGCGAAATGCTAACTCCTGCCTCCTGCTATGTTCTGTGTGCTACCTGCCTGGAAGCAAAGGCACAGTGAGAGCTGGTAATGCTGGTGTCACTTACCTCACTGTCCTCTTCAGGGGGTGGAGGGGGCTCTTTGATAATCTGGAAGGAACAAACAGAAACAGACAACCTTAAATCCACACTTCGTTCGTCGGCATGATGCAAAAGTCACTTTAATAGAGGATTTGTCCCTGCCAGCTCCTCGATCGCGACTGTGATGCATGTGGATTACATGGTTCCTACGTGTGCTAATGCTGTCGGGATAACCATGGGGATTCCTAATAAGGCACTGTAAAACCCTGCCATGCAGGCGTTTCCTAATTATAGTTCCCAATTAGAGTTTATATCACCTGTTGCTATGATCGCTGCCAATCGTGATGTCAAGGTGAATCTAACCAGTCTTGGAACTGACACTCCGGCTTTCTGATCTAGGAACAAAATACTCAGTGCAGCTAAAAAAACCCTCAGCTGAGTAATAATGGGCTGGTCTAAACTAGAGAATTAGATCGACCCAACGATGTCGCTCGGAGGTGTGAAAAATCCCCGCCTCTGAGCGACGTAGTTAAGCTGACCTAAGATCCTGTGTGGTCAGCGCTAGGTCAGTGGAAGAACACTTCTGTCAACCTACCTACCGTGTTTTAGGGAGGTGGATTAACTACAGATACAGATTATTGTATCACCCAAAGGCTGCAGCTGAGATCAGCACCCCATGTGCTAAGCACTGTACATAGCATCATAGAAGATTAGGGTTGGAAGAGATCTCAGGAGGTCATCTAGTCCAACCCCCTGCTCAAAGCAGGACCAACCCAGAGGTGAAAGTAAGCCGGTACGCCCCGCCTGGGGTGCTCAGCAGTGGGAAGGAAAGCAGTTATTGCTTATTATCCTTCACACTGTTGGGCTAAGAAGTCACTCTCTTTTTTAAAAAAAAAAAACCATATAAGTTGGAGGCTCTCCCAGCATTTCTAACTAATAAAGCAATTGGGGTGAGGTTTTGGGCTGATCGGGTGTATTCTCCATAGAAACCATTTAAATTTATGTGAGAGGGAGGCTATTAGTTCATGCATGAAGTTTGTATCTAGGACTCAACAAATAGCTGGCTATTATTACAGCTCTCCACTCCAAGTGCAATAGAAAGCCATCCAAAGGGACAGCTATTACATACAGGCATGTCAAACATCTCTCCCTAACTCCAAATTCATCCCTGGGGCATGGCTGTTGAAATCAGTGGGCTAAATCCAACCTTGGGGAAAGCCCAGTGATGTCAATGCGACTACACCAGGGATTCATTTTGTCCCATGGCCACATATTTATCTGAATGAAGGAACCCTTTCTTTAAACTGCACTCAACGGGCCAGAGGCTACAAGGTGCAGAGTGTCTCCTGCAAGGTGGCAAACACCCTCGGTTTCCCTGACTTCAACACATCGCAGATTTGGGCCCTGGGGCATGTGTGAACTGCTGGAGGTTTGCTGCAGATGTGCTTAGGTCCTGGAGTTAGTCATTTTTAAAAGCGAGGCTCCACAAACAACTTGACTGTTTAAATAGAAAGGGAAGGAAAAATATGGCTGCTGCACAAGAGTCCCGGAGACATAAATATTTATGAAAATTCCTCTTGTTCCCTATTTTGCTTCTCCGATGAGCTCACTGTTTTTATTTTCCTCTCACAAGCCCCGAGTCATGCAACGTGGTCATTAATGAGGAGCATGTGCCCTCGTGTAACAATGTTGAAAGGGGCTGGCCAGGGGGTCGGGGTTATCCCCTTGTTTGTGGCTTGACTCGGAGCAGGGGTGTCCCCGAGTCACTGCAGCTACCTGTCCCTGGGCACAGTAGCTGCCGTTTGTTTAATTGGCCATTGCGTAAAGCTTTGAAGAGCTTGTGCGTGTGCACTGAAACCAAATCAACCCTTTGTGTTTTGTGTTTAGAAGCAAAAAGGCCATTTGGAAGGAAGCAATGACATCTGAAGAGGATTAAAGGAAGCACCAGCAAACCCAAGGGCCAGGCTGTGGCGGTGAAGCCGCTGGCCACATTACAGGGGAGGGTGCACAAGCAGGAATCCCCGGAGGAATTCTGGCTGACTTGCAGGTTGGAGCTAGCAAAGGTTGAAAGGCTGCAGCAAGTATAACCCAGTGATTAGTGTGTGTCACAGTGTCCCCGATCCAAAGAGGCTCTGAGTCTGTTACAGCCCCAGCTGCGGAGCCTTGTCTCCAGTTCAATTCCTGGTGTGTCAGCCAAGATAGCAGCTGTCATACATGCGCCCAGCAAACCCGAGGTCATGCACGTGTCAACATCACATGCCATGAATGGGGACTGAACCAAGGTCCTTCACGAAACAATAATGGATTCTGATGGTTGAGCTAAAGGACGGTCACAGCTGTGACTGGCTCAGAACAGCAGGCACCGTTGGTGCTATTATGCCAGTCCACAATGGCCCAATCTCAGCACAGACTGACACAGTGGGTAGGCTTGCCGGAAGCAAGGCTAATCCAAACTCACACATGCAGATTTGAATGCTGCTGCGAGGGGGAGCCACTAACGTACGCGCGGCTGCAAGATGTGTTACATGCATGGTGGGTAGTATGCTAAATTTCTCTAGTGTAAACAAGGTCATAGTTCCTGGAGCCAGCAAGTGTGGGAGACATAGCCACAGAGTCTAGCACAGTGAATTATATGAGTCGAAAGGTAGCAGGGACAAAAGGCCCTGCCTTCCTCCACTTCTCCCTGCATCCTTTGGGCATCCTGGCTTGGACAGTGTCTGTGCACTCCTCAGCATGATTGTGACTGGCCTTAAAGAGGCTTGGGACGTTTCCGTTTCCATGCACCTTCTCCCTCCCATGAATTGACGGGTAGCAAATCAAACAATCCTAAAGCAACAAGATAGTGCTCAGTCATCTACACTACTCTTCTTTAGCATAATACAAGAGTTAAAGATGAGAAGGACCTATAGCTTATCCGGTCAATTGTCTTGCAAGGGAAAGCTTGATACTGGGTAATGCTTATATTCTGGTTGCTCCGTCTATTCCTCTTGTTCTGCACATTGCTGAATTGTTTGCACTGTATGTTGGCTGTACTCTGGGTGGTCTACATATTGTTTGCACAGCCTGTTAGGGTACTGTTTCAACTTTATGTTGTTGTATAGTGTACACCAGGGGTAGGCAACCTATGGCACACGTGCCAAAGGCAGCACGCGAGCTGATTTTCAGTGGCACTCACACTGCCTGGGTCCTGGCCACCAGTACAGGGGGCTCTGCATTTTAATTTAATTTTAAATGAAGCTTCTTAAACATTTTAAAAACCTTATTTACTTTACATACAACAATAGTTTAGTTATATATTATAGAAATAGAAAGAGACCTTCTAAAAACGTTAAAATGTATTACTGGCACGCGTAACCTTAAGTTAGAGTGAATAAAGGAAGACTCGGCACACCACTTCTGAAAGGTTGCCGACCCCGGTGTACATTGTGTGTTGATTGCATTCTGTTTGTACTTATCTTGTTTGCACTGTCCTGATTGTGTTCATGTTGACCTGTATATTGATTGCAGTGTGTTGACTGTATTTTGGTTGTTCTATATAGTTTGCAGTGTGTTACTGTATTGTTTGCTTTGCATGTTGATTGTATTCTGATTGCATTGTATATTGTTTGTATGTCAACTGTATTCTAAATTCACGATGTACTGTTTGCGCTGTATTTTGGTTGTACTCTAATTGCTCCTCATATTGGTTGCACAGTGTGCTGCTGTATTGTTTACACTGTATGTTGATGGCATTCTGCTATCACACAGATCCAGACCATAAAGAGAGAATATGAGATGAGCACTGATTGCTGAGCAGGGTTAAAAAGTTCAGGACTAGCAGGATTATAAATTCACTCTGTTATCCAGATAAACAGGCCAGATTTCTATCAGCAATACTACACCTAAATCATTAGGGTTTGCATGGAAAGCAACAAGAAAAAATCCTGGAAAACTTCTTGGACGAGAATCTGATGAAATGATTCATTGGAACCAAATATGGAGTAAAGCTGTTGCTTGGAGCACCATTTAGATTGTATTATGAATATAACTGAGCCGGGGAACAAGGTTACAACACAGTTGCCCAGCGCTAACACCCTTTGTATTGGCCTGTCACTGAGAAACAAGACTCCCCTCCCTTCCCATCTCCCTGGGCCCCTACTGCGCACAATAACATGCCTTCCTTTGAAGCAGCCTCACATTCCTGCACTCCTTGGCTACCGTCTGGGTTCTTCCGCCTCCCTGCAGCCCCTCATGCACGTTCCCATTCTGAGCGTTAGGAGTTAGGTTACGTAGGAAGTGGCGAGTCTTTCCAGGAATCCCACCCTGTCCAGCAGCCAGGAACTTTCCTCTCACCCTCCCTGATCCCCTATGGAAAAGTCATATAAGGAATGTAAATAAATGGGGCTCTATAGAAATTGAATAAAGAATGAGATCCCCCCTTCTGCAGTTTTTTTGTGAGCTATGCTATAGAATTCTGTATCAGGGGACCTTTGGAAAAGCACTTAGGGCCAGATTTGTAAAGGTATTTGGGACCCTAACTTCAGTTGATTTCAATGGGAATTAGAGGCCTAAATACCTTTAGGCCTTAGGGCCTGATTCTTTGTTACATTAAGTTCCCTTTGTCCCACTCTGGGAGCAGGCAAAGGGGCCTTAAAATAATCATGAATGAACCAGGTTCAATTGGCTCTCTGTGTATCAGTTTCTCCATCTGTAAAATGGGAGAGATAATGCTTCCCTACTTCATAAAGGTGTTGAGGATCAATGCATCAATGACTATGAGATACCGCAGTGATGGCAACCATGTAAGGAGATGGATGAATTTGTCAGTAAAAGTGCAAAGTGTGATCATGTATTATTGTTATGTGTATTAGGTGTCATAACCGTGCTAGGCACTGTAAAAAACACATAATGAGAGACTGTTCCCACCATTAAGAGATTATAATCTAAAGAAACAAGATGGGCAAAAAGTAGGAGGGGGGAAAAAAGGCAGACAAACATCTGACGGTAACACCTTCCACTGCAAGTGCCAGGCGCACTTCTTTGACTTGCCTTCTCTAACATAAACACAGAGCAGTGTGGATGTGTGTGTG